TGCACTCCGCTGCAACTTGCCCATGCCACCCCCGCTTCTCCTTCACACAAATTCAGACAGCTGATGTTCTGAAAGAGCTGAAAAATCTGGACCCCTACAAATCAGCTGGACTAGACAATCTGGACCCTTTCTTTCTAAAATTAGCTGCCGAAATTGTCGCAACCCCTATTACTAGCCTGTTCAAACTCTCTTTCGTAACGTCTGAGATCCCCAGAGATTGGAAAGCTGCCGCGGTCATTCCCCTCTTCAAAGGGGGTGACACTCTAGATCCAAACTGTTACAGACCTATATCCATCCTGCCCTACCTTTCGAAAGTATTTGAAAGCCAAGTTAACAAACAGATCACCGACCATTTCGAATCCCACCGTACCTTCTCCGCTATGCAATCCGGTTTCCGAGCTGGTCATGGGTGCACCTCAGCCCCGCTCAAGGTCCTAAACGATATTATAACCGTGATCGATAAAAGACAGTACTGCACAGCCATCTTCATCGACCTGGCCAAGGCTTTCGACTCTGTCAACCACCGCATTCTTATTGGCAGACTAAATAGCCTTGGTTTCTCTAATGACTGCCTCGCCTGGTTCACCAACTACTTCTCAGATAGAGTTCAATGTGTCAAATCGGAGGTCCTGTTGTCTGGAACTCTGGCAGTCTCTATGGGGGTGCCACAGGGTTCAATTCTCGGGCTGACTCTATTCTCTGTGTATATCAATGATGTCGCTCTTGCTGCTCGTGACGCTCGGATCCACCTCTATGCGGACGACACCATTTTGTATACATCTGGCCCTTCATTGGACACTGTGTTAACAAACCTCCAAACGAGCTTCAATGCCATACAACACTCCTTCCGTAGCCTCCAACTGCTCTTAAACACTAGTAAAACTAAATGCATGCTCTTCAACCGAACGCTGCTTGCACCCGCCCACCCGACTAGAATCACTACTCTCTGCGGGTCTGACCTAGAGTATGTGGACAACTACAAATACCTAGGTGTCTGGTTAGACTGTAAACTCTCCTTCCAGACTCACATTAAGCATCTCCAATCAAAAGTTAGATCTAGAATCGGCTTCCTATTTCGCAACAAAGCCTCCTTCACTCATGCTGCCAAACATGCCCTCGTAAAACGGACTATCCTACCGATCCTTGACTTCGGCGATGTCATTTACAAAATAGCCTCCAACACAGTACTCAGCAAATTGGATGTAGTCTATCACAGTGCCATCCGTTTTGTCACCAAAGTCCCATATACTACCCACCATTGTGACCTGTACGCTCTTGTTGGCTGGCCCTCACTACATATTCGTCGCCAAACCCACTGGCTCCAGGTCATCTATAAATCACTGCTAGGCAAATCCCTGCCTTATCTTAGCTCACTGGTCACCATAGCTACACCCATCCGTAGTCTGCGCTCCAGCAGGTATATCTCACTGGTCATCCCCAAAGCCAACACTTAATTTGGCCGCCATTCCTTCGAGCTGCCCAGTGACACAAGCCTATCAGACGAGCTAAATCACTTCTATGCTCGCTTCGAGGCAAGCAACACTGAAGCATCTATGAGAGCATGCTGAGAAGGATAATTACCACAGCAAGTAAGGTACTTGGAGTCAAACAGACAGGCCTGGATGAGATCTTTAAGGTCAGGGCCCTCCGTAAGGCTCACAAAATCATTTTAGACCCAAGTCACCCCCTGTACCTGGACTTTGAATTACTCCCCTCTGGGCGTAGGTATAGGGCACCCCTCAGCAGGAAAAATAGAACGAGACAATCATTTGTGCCAGGTGTGATATCCCTCTTAAATAGCTCGGGCAAATGTTCCCATTGACCCCGTAAGGCCAGCAGGCTAGTCTTTGTTTTAAATGTTTTAAATGTTTTATTTCTTATTTCTTACTTTTATTGGTGCGTGACTGTTATTGAAAGTTGTATTGTCAATCTTGTTTTGTATTTAACGCCACTTTAAATGTGTACATGACACTGCAACAAAATTTCCCCATGGGGACAATAAAGTAAGTAAGTAAGAGCATCAGCTGTTCCGGATGACTATGTGATCACGCTCTCTGTAGCCGATGTGAGTAAGACTTTTAAGCAGGTCAACATTCACAAGGCTGCAGGGCCAGACGGATTACCTGGACGTGTACTCCAAGCGCTGACCAACTGTCAAATGTCTTCATTGACATTTTCAACAAGTCCCTGACTGAGTCTGTAATACCAACATGTTTCAAGCAGACCACCATAGTCCCTGTGCCCAAGAACACTAAGATAACCTGCCTAAATGACTACCAACCCGTAGCACTCACGTCTGTAGCCATGAAGTGCATTGACCAGCAAAGGCTGGTCATGGCTCACATCAACACCATTATCCCAGAAACCCTAGATCCACTCCAATTTGCATAACGCCCCAACAGATCCACAGATGATGCAATCTCTATTGCACTCCACACTGCCCTTTCCAATCTGGACAAGAGGGCCGCCCCCAGGTGGTAAGGGTAGGTAACAGCACATCTGCCACGATGATCCTCAACACGGGGGTCCCTCAGGGGTGCGTGCTCATTCCCCTCCTGTACTCCCAGTTCACCCAAGACTGCATGGCCAGGCACGACTCCAACACCATCATTAAGTTTGCCGACGACACAACAGTGGTAGGCCTGATCACCGACAACGATGAGACAGCCTAAAGGGAGGAGGTCAGAGACTTGGCCGTGTGGTGCCAGTATAACAACCTCTCCCTCAACGTGACAAAGACAAAGGAGATCATTGTGGACTACAGGAAAAAAAAGAGGACTGAGCACGCCCCCATTCTCATCGACAGGGCTGTAGTGGAACAGGTTGAGAGCTTCAAGTTCCTTGGTGTCCACATCACCAACAAACTATCATGGTCCAAACACACCAAGACAGTCGTGAAGAGGGCACGACAAAGCCTATTCCCCCTCAGGAGACTGAAAATATTTGACATGGGTCCTCAGATCCTCAAAAAGTTATACAGCTGCACCATCGAGAGCATCCTGACTGGTTGCATCACCGCCTGGTATGGCAACTGCTCGGCCTCCGACCGCAAGGCATTACAGAGGGTAGTGCGTACGGCCCAGTACATCACTGGGGCCAAGCTTCCTGCCATCCAGGACCTCTATACCAGGCGGTGTCAGAGGAAGCCCCTAAAAATTATCAAAGACTCCAGCCACCCTAGTCATAGACTGTTCTCTCTGCTACCGCACGGCAAGCGGTACCGGACCGCCAAGTCTAGGTCCAAATGGCTTCTTAACAGCTTCTACCCCCAAGCCATAAGACTCCTGAACAGCTAATCATGGCTACCCGGACAATTTGCATTACCACCCCACCCCACCCCACCCCAACCCCCTCTTTTACGCTGCTGCTACTCTGTTTATTATCTATGCACAGTCACTTTAACTCTACCCACATGTACATATTACCTCAATTACCTCGACTAACCGGTGCCCCCGCACATTGACTCTGTACCGGTACCGGCCTCCCTACCGTTATTTTATTTTACTGCTGCTCTTTAACTATTAGCTATTTTTTATTTTTTACTTATCTATTTTTTACTTAACACTTATTTTTCTTAAAAAACTGCATTGTTGGTTAAGGGCTTGTAAGTAAGCATTTCACTGCCTGTTGTATTCGGCGCATGTGGCAAATAAAATTTGATTCGATTCAAAAGCCATTGTGGTGTGGCTTTGGCATTAAAATGTGTGTAATTGTCCCACTGAAAAATAAAACTCTATCCCAGGGTTAGGTATTTAGAATACTGAGGTAGGCTCTATACTGGGCACTCTGGAAGCTGTTGTTGTTGTTGTGGGGGGGGGGGGGGGGGGGGGCTGCCACTTGGGCGCTCTGGAAGCTGTTGTTGTGGGGGGTTAAATGCCGTGCTCAAGGGCATTAAGGAAGGCAATGACATCTAGGATTTGATACCAACAACCTTCTGGTTGCCAGCTCACTTCCAGACAGATTTTTCCTGTAGGACCTGGGATTCAAACTGGCAACCCTCCGGTTGTTGGCTCGCCTCTCTAACCATATTGTTTCCCAGGCCTAGATGTAATTTGCTCCATCAACTAAAGTAGTTCACTTTTTAGAACAGACTTCCTGCCCAGAACACTGAGCCCTGGCCAATGGGCGGGTTCCATTATGTCCTGCCCAGAACCTGAGCCCTGGCCAATGGGCGGGTTCCATTATGTCCTGCCCAGAACCTGAGCCCTGGCCAATGGGCGGGTTCCATTATGTCCTGCCCAGAACCTCAGCCCTGGCCAATGGGCGGATTCCATTATGTCCTGCCCAGAACCTGAGCCCTGGCCAATGGGCGGGTTCCATTATGTTGAGCCGCAGGGCACCAGTCTATGGCATGTGATGTGAACGTACAAAAGCTGTGAGGGAGGAGCGCATTCTCAAATCGAACAGTAATCAGCGCCATCTTGTTTCAGTAAAATATATGTTTGAATTTACAGACTAGTTTTCATTGGGAAGGCAGTTAAAGCCTTTTTATCATAAGCAATCACTTTTGCATGTGAAAACACAGAATCTTACTCATTACTCCACGTGTTTAATTACATGACTTTTGTTTGGAGCCGACTTCACCGTGGGCTTTGAACGGGACACCTGGCTCACTCCTGGGTGGCAGCCCGATTCCAAAACTAATGCAATCAACGTTAGTCCGGGGCAAAACACGACTACCCGGGCACCCGGAACAGAATGTTCTGAGACCCGGCCAATGACAGAGCGTGTTTTGCGGTGCCGCGGCCTATAGATGGTGATTACCGCCAGTGAGAGGCCATCAGCTACAACACAGAATGTTGTAGCAGCAAATAAAAGGTCATGTTTCAGCTGTATGCCTCCAGTGTTAAGGCCAGTGGGTTAGGGTTAGTGGTGGCTGTTGAAACTAGGTACTGTATGGATAGCTGCAGGAAGTAGGGGTGCTGAAGGTGCTGCAGGAAGTAGGGGTGCTGAAGTAACTGCAGGAAGTAGGGGTGCTGAAGGTGCTGTAGTAAGTAGGGGTGCTGAAAGTGCTACAGGAAGTAGGGGTGCTGAAGGTGCTACAGGAAGTAGGGGTGCTGAAGGTGCTGCGGGAAGTAGGGGTGTTGAAAATGCTGTAGGAAGTAGGGGTGCTGAAGGTGCTACGGGAAGTAGGGGTGCTGAAGGTGCTGCAGGAAGTAGGGGTGCTGAAGGTGCTGCAGGAAGTAGGGGTGCTGAAGGTGCTACAGGAAGTAGGGGTGCTGAAGGTGCTACAGGAAGTAGGGGTGCTGAAGGTGCTACAGGAAGTAGGGGTGCTGAAGTTGCTACAGGAAGTAGGGGTGCTGAAGGTGCTACAGGAAGTAGGGGTGCTGAAGGTGCTGCAGGAAGTAGGGGTGCTGAAGGTGCTGCGGGAAGTAGGGGTTTTGAAGGTGCTGTAGGAAGTAGGGGTGATGAAAGTGCTACAGGAATAGGGGTGCTGAATGTGCTACAGTAAGTAGGGGTGCTGAAGGTGCTACAGGAAGTAGGGGTGCTGAAGGTGCTGCAGGAAGTAGGGGTGCTGAAGGTGCTGCAGGAAGTAGTGTTGCTGAAGGTGCTACAGGAAGTAGGGGTGCTGAAGGTGCTACAGGAAGTAGGGGTGCTGAAGGTGCTGCGGGAAGTAGGGGTGCTGAAGGTGCTGCGGGAAGTAGGGGTGCTGAAGGTGCTGCGGGAAGTAGGGGTGCTGAAGGTGCTACAGGAAGTAGGGGTGCTGAAGGTACTGTAGGAAGTAGGGGTGCTGAAGGTGCTGTAGGAAATAGGGGTGCTGAAGGTGATACCGGAAGTAGGGGTGCTGAAGGTGCTACAGGAAGTAGGGGTGCTGAAGGTGCTGCAGGAAGTAGGGGTGCTGAAGGTGCTTTAGGAAGTAGGGGTGCTGAAGGTGCTACAGGAAGTAGGGGTGCTGAAGGTGATGCAGGAAGTAGGGGTGCTGAAGGTGCTGCAGGAAGTAGGGTTGCTGGAGGTGCTACAGGAAGTAGGGGTGCTGAAGGTGCTACAGGAAGTAGGGGTGCTGAAGGTGCTGCAGGAAGTAGGGGTGCTGAAGGTGCTGCAGGAAGTAGGGGTGCTGAAGGTGCTGCAGGAAGTAGGGGGCTGAAGGTGCTGCAGGAAGTGGGGTTGCTGAGGTGCTACGGAAGTAGGGGTGCTGAAGGTGCTACAGGAATAGGGGTTGCTGAAGGTGCTACAGAAGTAGGGGTGCTGAAGGTGCTACAGGAAGTAGGGGTGCTGAAGGTTGCTGCAGGAAGTAGGGGTGCTGAAGGTGCTCAGGAAGTAGGGGTGCTGAAGGTGCTGCAGGAAGTAGGGGTGCTGAAGGTCCCTAGGAAGTAGGGGTGCTGAAGGTGCTACGGGAAGTAGGGGTGCTGAAGGTGCTGCAGGAAGTAGGGGTGCTGAAGGTGCTGCAGGAAGTAGGGGTGCTGAAGGTGCTACAGGAAGTAGGGGTGCTGAAGTGTGCTCGGAAGTAGGGGTGCTGAAGGTGCTGCAGGAAGTAGGGTTGCTGAAGGTGCTACAGGAAGTAGGGGTGCTGAAGGGTGCTACAGGAAGTAGGGGTGGCTGAAGGTGCTGCAGGAAGTAGGGTGCTGAAGGTGCTTTAGGGGGGAAAGTGGGGGGGTGCTGAAGGTGCTGTGGCTACAGAAGTAGGGGTGCTGAAGTGTTGTACAGGAAGTAGGGGTGCTGAAGGTGCTGCAGGAAGTAGGGTTGCTGAAGGTGCTGCAGGAAGTAGGGGTGCTGAAGGTGCTACAGGAAGTAGGGGTGCTGAAGGTGCTACAGGAAGTAGGGGTGCTGAAGGTGCTGCAGGAAGTAGGGGTGCTGAAGGTGCTGCAGGAAGTAGGGGTGCTGAAGGTGCTGCAGGAAGTAGGGTTGCTGGAAGGTGCTACAGGAAGTAGGGGTGCTGAAGGTGCTGTAGGAAGTGGGGTTGCTGAAGGTGCTACCGGAAGTAGGGTGCTGAAGGTGCTACGGAAGTAGGGGTGCTGAAGGTGCTGCAGGAAGTAGGGGTGCTGAAGGTGCTGCAGGAAGTAGGGGTGCTGAAGGTGCTACAGGAAGTAGGGGTGCTGAAGGTGCTAGCTGGAAGTAGGGGTTGCTGGAGGTGCTACAGGAAGTAGGGGTGCTGAAGGTTGCTACAGGAAGTAGGGTGCTGAAGGTGCTGCAGGAAGTAGGGGTGCTGAAGGTGCTGCAGGAAGTAGGGGTGCTGAAGGTGCTGCGGAAGTAGGGGTGCTTGAAGTGCTGCAGGAAGTAGGGTTGCTGATGAGTGCTACAGGAATAGGGGTGCTGAAGGTGCTACAGGAAGTGGGGGTTGCTGAAGGTGCTGCAGGAAGTAGGGGTGCTGAAGGTGCTGCAGGAAGTAGGGGTGCTGAAGGTGCTGCAGGAAGTAGGGGTGCTGAAGGTGCTGCAGGAAGTAGGGTTGCTGAAGGTGCTACAGGAAGTAGGGGTTGCTGAGGTGCTACGGAAGTAGGGGTGCTGAAGGTGCTGCGGGAAGTAGGGGTGCTGAAGGTGCTGCGGGAAGTAGGGGTGCTGAAGGTGCTGCAGGAAGTAGGGGTGCTGAAGGTGCTGTAGGAAGTAGGGGTGCTGAAGGTGCTGTAGGAAATAGGGGTGCTGAAGGTGATACCGGAAGTAGGGGTGCTGAAGGTGCTACAGGAAGTAGGGGTGCTGAAGGTGCTGCAGGAAGTAGGGGTGCTGAAGGTGCTTAGGAAGTAGGGGTGCTGAAGGTGCTACAGGAAGTAGGGGTGCTGAAGGTGATGCAGGAAAGTAGGGGTGCTGAAGGGCTGCAGGAAGTAGGGTTGCTGGAGGTGCTACAGGAAGTAGGGGTGCTGAAGGTGCTACAGGAAGTAGGGGTGCTGAAGGTGCTGCAGGAAGTAGGGGTGCTGAAGGTGCTGCAGGAAGTAGGGGTGCTGAAGGTGATGCAGGAAGTAGGGGTGCTGAAGGTGCTGCAGGAAGTAGGGTTGCTGGAGGTGCTACAGGAAGTAGGGGTGCTGAAGGTGCTACAGGAAGTAGGGTTGCTGAAGGTGCTGCAGGAAGTAGGGGTGCTGAAGGTGCTGCAGGAAGTAGGGGTGCTGAAGGTGCTGCAGGAAGTAGGGGTGCTGAAGGTGCTGCAGGAAGTAGGGTTGTGCTGGAGGTGCTACAGGAAGTAGGGGTGCTGAAGGTGCTACAGGAAGTAGGGGTGCTGAAGGTTGCTGCAGGAAGTAGGGGTGCTGAAGGTGCTGCAGGAAGTAGGGGTGCTGAAGGTGCTGCAGGAAGTAGGGGTGCTGGAAGATGCTGCTAGGGAAGTAGGGGTGCTGAAGGTGCTGCAGGAAGTAGGGGTGCTGAAGGTGCTGTAGGAAGTAGGGGTGCTGAAGGTGCTGTAGGAATAGGGGTGCTGAAGGTGAGGAAGTAGGGGTGCTGAAGGTGCTGCAGGAAGTAGGGGTGCGTGAAGGTGCTGCAGGGCAAGTAGGGGTGCTGAAGGTGCTTAGGAAGTAGGGGTGCTGAAGGTGCTGCAGGAAGTAGGGGTGCTGAAGGTGCTACCGGAAGTAGGGGTTGCTGTAGATGCTACAGGGAAGTAGGGGTGCTGAAGGTGGCTGCTGCAGGAAGTAGGGGTGCTGAAGGTGCTTTAGGAAGTAGGGTGCTGAAGGTGCTAGCAGGAAGTAGGGGTGCTGAAGGTGCTGCAGGAAGTAGGGGTGCTGAAGGTGCTGCAGGAAGTAGGGTTGCTGGAGGTGCTACAGGAAGTAGGGGTGCTGAAGGTGCTACAGGAAGTAGGGGTGCTGAAGGTGCTGCAGGAAGTAGGGGTGCTGAAGGTGCTGCAGGAAGTAGGGGTGCTGAAGGTGCTGCAGGAAGTAGGGTTGCTGGAGGTGCTACAGGAAGTAGGGGTGCTGAAGGTGCTACAGGAAGTAGGGTTGCTGAAGGTGCTGCAGGAAGTAGGGGTGCTGAAGGTGCTGCAGGAAGTAGGGGTGCTGAAGGTGCTGCAGGAAGTAGGGGTGCTGAAGGTGCTGCAGGAAGTAGGGTTGCTGGAGGTGCTACAGGAAGTAGGGGTGCTGAAGGTGCTACAGGAAGTAGGGGTGCTGAAGGTGCTGCAGGAAGTAGGGGTGCTGAAGGTGCTGCAGGAAGTAGGGGTGCTGAAGGTGCTGCAGGAAGTAGGGGTGCTGAAGATGCTGTAGGAACAGAGAGGGAACAGAGAGAGGGAACAGGGGAGTGAGGGTGAGAGAGTTCTAGATGGAGACTGAACTGAACAAACTCTGCTTCCTCTGCAGATGCAGAAACTGCAAATATAATGGAAACAAAGTATATTGACAGCAGGTGCTTCAACACAGGTGTGGTTACTGAGTTAATTAAGCAATCAACATCCCATCATGCTTTGAGTGATGTATAAAAATGCCCAGTTGCCCATTATTTTGGCTACCATGGCTAGAAGAATAGATCTCAGTAGATCACCTGATAGACCATCCTGACTGTTGCTAGCCTGATGCACCATCCTGACCGCTGCTAGCCTGATGCACCATCCTGACACTGCACTTTAGCCTGATCCACCATCCTGACCGCTGCTAGCCTGATGCACCATCCTGACACTGCACTTTAGCCTGATCCACCATCCTGACTACTGCTAGCATGATGCACCTTCCTGACTACTGCTAACCTGATGCACCACCCCCCTGACCTCTGCTAGCCAGATCCACCATCCTGACTACTGCTAGCCTGATGCACCTTCCTGAGAACTGCTAGCCTGATGCACCATCCTGACTACTGCTAGCCTGATCCACCATCCTGAAAACTGCTAGCCTGATCCACCATCCTGACTACTGCTAGCCTGATCCACCATCCTGACCCCTGCTAGCCTGATGCACCATCCTGACCTCTGCTAGCCTGATCCACCATCCTGACTACTGCTAGCATGATGCACCATCCTGAAAACTGCTAGCCTTATGCACCATCCTGACTACTGTTAGCCTGATCCACCATCCTGACTACTGCTACCCTGATGCACCTTCCTGAGAACTGCTAGCCTGATCCACCATCCTGACTACTGCTAGCCTGACCCACCATCCTGACTACTGCTAGCCTGACCCACCATCCTGAATACTGCTAGCCTGACCCACCATCCTGACTACTGCTAGCATGATGCACCATCCTGTGACCTTTTTGTCAGTAATTACCACATCCACAAAGTCAGAAGGCCCGCCTACTCGACCAATCAGATGAGGGAGTGTGATGACGTGTATGCCGGCTCAGAAGGCCCGCCTACCCGACCAATCAAGATGATTAAGTATGCTGGTTTACGGTTCGCAGGGAAACGCCGGATCTAAGTAGCAGACAAGTTGAGAGCTTCCATCGATTAGCATGTCTAGGAGTAGGACGCTTTACCGAGTTTGAAGTGGAGGTACAGGGCTTAACATGTCTCTTAAGGAGGCTAAAAAGAGATTTCGGCTTTGAAAAGTTGAATATGTATGTCTGGTAATTGGTTAAGGGAGGAGGATTGGAGGGAAAGAGAGAGGAGGTTGAAAAGACTGAGGGAGGCAGAGGATAGATCTGTTGAAGCTAGCGACTACAAGGGAGAGGGTATGCCGAAGAAGAGCCGGACGCCAGTTGGAGTTCTGGTGGATGAATGGAAGGGGTAGAAGGTGTTGTGAGGAGATCGGAGCCCGAGCCTTGCATTGATGGATATGGTTATGATAATGATACGTTTGGTCCAGTGGGAGTGAGATTTTTGAAGAGGGTGTAACCAGGCCTTTTGGCTGATCCATGGATGGTTTCAGGTTGGGTGGAAAAGACGGTGGGTGCTGTTGAGTTGGTGAAGGTAACCCGAAGTGGACTGGTGATGTTTGTTTGCGTTTCTTCAGATCAGAGGCAGCAGGCGCTCCGTGTGACGCAACTTGGGGAAAGACCTGTATCTTGCTTTGCGCTTCGGTACAGGGCACCATTGAAGGGAGTGATTTCCGCGGTAGCGTTAAGTGTGGAGGTGGAACAATTTAAGTTGAAGATTCCTGGTGTTTTGTGACTCCTGCCGTTTGGTGCGACGCAGATCCGGTGGGGAGTGTGGTGAAACCGAGGTGACACAGTCTGTTCTTTTGACCTTTGATTCAGAGTCTTTACCTGACAATGTAATGTTAGGATATATCAGTTATGCTGTTAGAGATTTTGTGCGAAATCCACCGCGGTGTTATAGGTGTCACATTTATGGTCATGTCGCAGCAGTGTGTAGGAGGGAGATTCCAAAATGTGGGAAGTGTGCAGGAGGACATGGGACAGAGGAATGTGTAGCTTCGGTGGAAACAGTTGTGTGTGTCAACTGTTTGGGGTTTCTATATTTCTTAATTCCATTATTATTATTTTTTGTGAATTGTTAGATATTACTGCACTGTTGGAGCTAGGAACACAAGCATTCCGCTACACCCGCAATAACATCTGCTAAACATGTGTATGCGACAAATACAATTTGATTGGATTTGATTGGTCGTTGACTCGCCATAGTACAGTATGTTACACCTCGTTTCCTCCTTCAGGGAACAGGAGTTATATTCATAACTGTATGTTTCCCTGTGTGCTTATATATATATCCACACTATGAGGTTGGAATAATACTGTGAAATTGTGAAAATGATGATATGCCCATTTATGACAACATTTATTTATGTCAACTGTAGGGGTGCCCATGATGCTGGGGATCGGAGGTGTCCGGGAAGAGAGAGGCAGGTTGAGGTGTCCGGTGGAGAGAGAGGCAGGTTGAGGTGTCCGGTGGAGAGAGAGGCAGGTTGAGGTGGCCAGGGTCAGGGTGTGAGAGAGGCAGGTTGAGGTGTCCGGGGGAGAGAGAGGCAGGTTGAGGTGGCCAGGGTCAGGGTGTGAGAGAGGCAGGTTGAGGTGTCCGGGTGGAGAGAGAGGCAGGTTGAGGTGGCCAGGGTCAGGGTGTGAGAGAGGCAGGTTGAGGTGGCCAGGGTCAGGGTGAGAGAGGCAGGTTGAGGTGTCCAGGGTCAGGATGCGAGAGAGGCAGGTTGAGGTGTCCGGTGGAGAGAGAGGCAGGTTGAGGTGGCCAGGGTCAGGGTGTGAGAGAGGCAGGTTGAGGTGTCCGGTGGAGAGAGAGGCAGGTTGAGGTGGCCAGGGTCAGGGTGTGAGAGAGGCAGGTTGAGGTGTCCGGTGGAGAGAGAGGCAGGTTGAGGTGTCCAGGGTCAGGGTGTGAGAGAGGCAGGTTGAGGTGGCCAGGGTCAGGGTGCGAGAGAGGCAGGTTGAGGTGTCCAGGGTCAGGGTGTGAGAGAGGCAGGTTGAGGTGGCCAGGGTCAGGGTGAGAGAGAGGCAGGTTGAGGTGTCCAGGGTCAGAGTAGTGCAGAAGGTGTCGTATGCTGAGGCAGTGAAGAAAGTAGAGGAGGATGGATCAAGGGTGAGGGATTCTGAGAGGATCCCTGTGAATAGTAGATCTGTGCCAGAACAGAGTTATAGGCCAATGAGTGATATATGTTTCAGTAAGTTTGTCTTCTTAGCGTTCATAGCAATGGTTATGGAACGTAAGTCACAGAAAATAGATGTTGTGGTGGCAGCTACAGAGAAGTAATTGGGGGTACGAGATTTGACTTCAGAAGGATTACAGGGTGTGTTGAGTGGTGGAGTCACATCCTCTCAGGTCGTTGGCCTGGGTAGGATCAGATAGGGTTAAAGTAGTGGAACAAGGTGGTGGGTTTTAATGAGAGTAGGGTTAGTTGGTAAGGTCATTCAAAATATATTTGTGACTCGTTTCAGGAAACTAGGTGTATGTCACGCGTCACTGCTTCACAGGAGAGCCATTTGAACGTAAACCTTTTTAAAAAAATCAAAATGCATTTTTTGGCAGAAATGCCTTCTGGAACATGTGAACTTTCATGTGCCTTAATAACAAACTTGTATGCCATCTGTAAATACGAATAAAATTAATAAATTACGAGCTTAGTTGGTTTAGCCACAGAAAAAGACAGCAACCTTCCCGCTAGCCATGATTGGCTGAGATAATTAGTGGGCTGGACATGCTGAGAGATGAGTTCGGATTGGTCTGCCATGTAGCATGGTCAGTATGTGTAGGTAATCCTTTCTAACACAGCTTTTTTGAAAGATCTCACGTAGTAGAACTGCAGAAGTGTTGCTCTCCACTTTCTGGAGGACCGAGTTTTGAAATCAGTGGAATTAGAGTATGATAGCTAAGGAGATGGAGAAAATTCTGCCGTTTGATTGCAAATATGCAGAGGGAGTCAAAAAGAGAACACACAGAAGGCTATTGTATAAAACACCTGTCTCTGGATTACATCTTCAAACTAAGGGCAACCATGGCATCCGTGTCAGAGAGGGAGAAGCGTCCATCCATGTATACGGGTAAGAGAGTCTAGCTAGCTACATTTTCAGATATTACACATTTCTAATTTTGTCATTAAGTCATTTTCATTTCAAGTTAGTGTACTGTTAGCTAGCTAGCTAAAGTTAGCTGGCTGGCTAACTAGCTAACATTACGTGTATGATCTGTGTAGTAATATTATTCGTATCTCAGAGCCATTTGCATTGCTTGTTATAGCTTAATGTTAGCTAGCTAACATTGAACCTAGTTGGTTAGCTAACTGCAGATTGATGCAGGGTAGTAACGATATGAGTTGGGATTATGGTTCATTGTTTAGCTAGCTAGCTATATGTCTAAACAAAAGACTCCACTATGCAAGTAACCATTTCAATAGAATGTTCATGGTGTCACTGCGACAACTGTCGATAGACGTAGCTGGTACATTTGCTCTGGCTATCTACTCTGATTTCAGAGCACTCTCGTCTGAGTGTGCAAGAGCGCAGAATAACTGACAAATTTACCAATGCTCAACACCCGTTGAATATGGCTGGTGTCTGTAAACATTGACAAAAAAGCGTAATTAAATTGTTGCCAGCAGCACAGTTAGTCACCAACGCTCTGGATAACATTAAAACAGCTTAACCAGCTCTGCTAGGGCGAGTAAAATGGTCAGTGTGAGCTGTTCTCTCATTTGTGTCTGGAAGTAGCTAGCAAGCTAGCCAACGTTAGCCAGTTAGCTTGGGTGTTTGACTTCTGTTGTTAGGTCAGAACGCTCGGATCAACCCTACTCCTCGGCCAGAGCGTCCAGTGTGCATTCTTAACGCTCCGAGAGCGAAACGCTCAGAATTTACGAACGGACAATCTGACAAC